TATTAATTTCTAAAAGTTCCATTTAGTTCTTTTATAAAATTGTCTTGTAATTAATCAATATATATTGTTTGCTTGTTTTTATTCCTTCACTTGCTGAAGCATTTTATACATTGAAAATTTATAGTCCATATCTGATCATCCAAATTCTTGAAGTTACTGAATGTCTAAATCCATAGTTATTTCTGCTTAATTGGATTCATGTTTTTTATTTCCCCTTGTGATTATTGTCCTTTGATTGTGAATTCATATTTGATTATCTCAAGCTGAGAAAAACCTGCAGTTTAATTTAAAAACTCTCTTTTCATTTCCAGAGAGGAAAGGTTCTTTTCTGGGTGCCAAGGGCTCTATTGATCTGAGCTAAATGTGGCCCCTTTTTGGATCCCTGGTTTAATCCAGAAGTTTCAAGCTCAGCTCTTCCCTCTGGCTTCTGATGTAAGGTTAGGTCTCCTTGAGTTTATAGATGGAGACACTGATAAACCATTTGTTCTCAGAGTACTCCAGCACTTCAGGGCGCTTACTGCTCACTGTTCAATTTCAGCCTACTACCTTTCCCCCTGAATTGTAGACTCTCTTCTGGTAAGAAGAAATGCCATAAGAACTATGTTGTTGTTGTTGTAAAGTGCCATCAAATTGGTTCCAACCCATAGCGACACTGTATAGGGTTTCCTAGGAGCAGATGGTGAGCTTGAACTGCTGATCTTGCTGACTTTGTGGTTCAAATCGACTTTGCAGTTCAGCACATTAACCCATAACACCACACCAGGACTCCGTAGGAACTATGCTAATTCTAAATGTCTTGCAGTGGGAGAGTCCCCTCACGTGACAGAGGCGAACTGCCATATAGGATTTTCTTGTCTGTAATCTTTATGAAAGCAGATCACCAGGTTTTCCCCTGCAGAGTCGCTGAGTAGGTGTGACTCGCCAACTTTTTGTCAGCAGTGGAGAACTTATCTGCTGTGACACCAGGGCTCCTTTCTCAGTATCTAGCTCTGGTAGCGTAGTGGTTACGAATCGGGCTGTGAACTGCGGTTCGAAACTACCAGCTGCTCCGCAGGAGAAAGTTGAGGCTTTCTGCTTTCGACTCGATGGCACTTAACAACAACAAGTTCACCATAATGTCAAAAGCAGAAGTCTAATATTACTTCTACAAACTACATATTTGAATGAAAACAGTGATTCTTGCTACCATATGAGATACTGTTCATGAATCCACTTATGAAGGTGAATAAATGAATTCATTTTCTTCTCCCATCTCATGTTCTTCTTCTTTTTTAAAAAGTACTAATAAAAGTATCAAAGCCAAGTAGCCTATATCACTTCTTTATTGCTAAACAATTCTGGGTTTTTGGGGGAAACTAAATACTTCTTGTCTCAGGCTCCCTTACTGCCGGGAGGTCCATATGTTATGCTGCTGTGGCTGAGTTGGTTCTGACTCATTCTGATGCTGTATAGGATTTCTGAGAAGCAATTGGTAGGTTTGAACCATTGACCTTGTGGTTAACAGTCTAGTGCTTATCCTACAGTGCCACACCAGGACTCTTCCATGTGCTATAATTCTTGTCTATAAGATGTAGGCAGAAGTCTGCTATGGGGGCTCCTGGCAAACATTTGATTCATGGAAGAAAGGAAATGATATGGTGTCCTTTTCCTTCTTCCAACCTCAAATTTCAATGTATTAATGGAACTTACAGTGGCCATAATGTACCCACCATAAGGTTACAAGCATGAGAGAAAAGCCTAGAGAGAGTCAGAGATACAGGCTCTTACATCAACGAGCTGGTATTAATTCAGAAGCAGCAACCTACTTTGAACAAACTTTTGTTAAGTTAGAAAAATCAACCCTTATATGTTTAAGCTACTATAGATATGTTTTCTGTTTCTTGAAGCTAAATATAGCTACCTAACCACACCAATCAAGAAATTCTGAGGCTGTGTAATTCAGTAGTAATTATTCACTCGGGTAACAAGTAAAGCTGGCTAAATCAGTTGCAAATTTATAGCTGCCTTCGTCAAATTTCAGAGCTAGTTAATTTAGGAATTTAAAACTATTGTAAGAAGTTGTACATCATGAAAATGTAATAAAATAAATATACTTAATAACATAAGACTAAACTTACTATAGTAATAAAATTCCTCAAGGGTAGAGATCAGCTCTACTCATCTGGAATAAAATAAGCCCCTTCACACAGCTCAGACCCAAATTTAAAAAAAAATGCTCTCAATTAATACTGAATTGAGAAGAATTGCATTCCCTTTGCACACAACATATTTTTAATCTTTAAAGCAGATAACCAACTTTATTTAATTAGTGACAGCAGCATGGTATTTCATGTCACACCTGATTAATACATGTCCTAAAATTATTATTAGCCAGATAAAAAGAAGAAAATATCATACATTTTAAGTACAGCGTTATCAATACTTAAAGTTAACAAAAGATCCACAAACATATAGCCTTATAAATGACTTCAAGTATAATTTTCCTACCTCCATGACAATGATAAAAGCCAGCTTAGCTGCGATCACGTGCCAGTAGTAGATGTTGTGTTTATATTCACTTGGGTGTCCGGGAGGATACCGAAAATCACGATACCTGGAAACACAGCAAAACTGAGATAGTTTATGATCAAATACTGTAAACATTTTTAAAATGTTATATTTAATGGAATGCTCTTTTAAACTGCACATCAAATAAATTTTCTCCAAGAGTTCAACTTAGCAACAAAATCCTGAAATATACCCCATTCACTATGTAATAAGATGATGATGGATGGATTCCATCTTTGTAAAAAAGAATTCATCCTTATAAAAGAATGAAAGTATCTTAAATGTCATTTTGGCAAGAACGTTGTCCCTGATTTCTTAAAAGAATGTAACTACAACAATACAGCCTCTTCTCAGGGCCGTGCTTATCAATTCGATTATTTATTTATATAATGGCATTGTCAGGATTAGGGTTCATTTAGCTGCTATATGGGACCATCTGCTTTATACAAAATTGTTCCAGTGTACTGCCTGCTTTTTGTAATCCCTCGCCTAATTCCTTGTTGTCAGATGTCATGTGTCACTGCTGTTAGGGTATCTCTAATTTTCTGGCTGTAATCTATGACCTGGTAGGGTACAATTACTGATTAGAATTGTATAAAGTAAAATTAAGTAGATTCAATGTGGGATTCTAAGTGGTTGTACTATTTGTAACTTTCAAACATTTCTTTTGGGCTTATTTCTGGTTTCCTGGTTGCATTATCTACAGACAGGCAATGTCTTATTGTGCTTTGCTTTCTTGCACTTTGCAGTTATTATGATTTTTAAACATTATTATTATTCCAAATTGAAGGCTTGTGGCAAGTCTATCAGCACCATTTTCCAAACAGCATGTGCTTACTTCATGTCTCCAAGTCACATTTTGATAATTCTCATGATTACAAACTTTTCCATAATGCTACTACATACACTATAGATTACAGTCTAGTGTAAACATACCCTTTACATATTTTTAGTAAACCAGAAAATCTGTGGGACTCATTTTGTTGCAATATTCACTTTCTTGTGGTGCTCTGGAACTGAATCCACACTATCTCCATGGTGTGCCTGTACTGCTAAGAATTCTGAATCAGTGATAGTTTTGAGGAGCTGGACTAAATAAATTTAAACTCTATGATTGAAAAAAACAAAACAAAACAAAAAACTGCTATTTACAGTCAGTAAATTTTATCAACTGGCCCACAGCTGATTTTACCAGCCACTAAAACTCCTAGTGTAGATCAGCACTGGACTGCAAACCACAAGGTCAGTGGTTCAAACCCACCAACTCCTTGGAAACCTTGCTCCTTGGAAACCCTATACAGGGTTGTTATGAGTCAGAACCAACTCATCGGCACTAACAACAACAACAAAACCAATCAGAGAGCTCTGGAATACTTTAGAGAATATTGTTAAGCTACATTACTTTAAGTCTGTCAAGAAACTGTTATTCATGTCTCTTTTGTTTGTACTTTTTCGTTATGTGAGAATGCTAGATATCAGCACAATATCTTCAGATTGTGCTTGAATAACATATTAGTCATAACCGTTGAATCATCTTGCTTTCTGAAACCCATGAAGTTTTCCATTTCTAAGATACAATACAATATGGCTTTCTTCCTGGATCAGTCTCCCAGTAACCATTTGAAACTTTCATCTTAAAATCTTGTTTTATGGCTTGATTTAAACATTCTGGTACAGTGGATAAAGTGCTTGACTTATTAACCGAACAGTTGGTGGTTCGAACCAACGAGCTGCTCTGTGGGAAAACGATGAGTCAGTCAGCTTCAGTAAAGATTTACAGCCTTGGAAATGCTATGGGGAAGTTCTACTCTATTCTACCGGGTAACTCTGAGCCCTGGTGTGGCACTGTAGGATAAGCACTGGACTGGGAACTGCAAGGTTTGCAGTTCAAACCTCCTAGCTGTTCTCAGAAACCCTATATGGGGTTGTTATGAGTCAGAACCAACTTGATGGCACACAAGCACGAGTAACTCCAGCCTATATTAACATTGATATCTCTCTGTTTGATTTAAAATAAAAGCTATTGAATAAATGTTTCTTGTAATTGGATTTAAATAATACCAAATAGAATGACTCTACTTCTAAAGATGCGAATTACGAGTTGGGCTGCTAATCATAAGGTCAGTAGTTCGAATCTACCAGTCACTCCACAGGTGAAATATGAGGCTTTTTGCTCCCGTAAAGGTTTACAGCCTCGGAAACCCTATGAGTCTCTATGAGTCAGAACTGACTCGGTGGCACACAACCACCACCAAAAATGAAATACATTTCTAAACATGGCAAAGTGAAACTTGCCTGCATGTGGTATGGTTGCCAAGTCCGACGTATGGATTTGCCCGACTTTTGTTTTTGAAGTCCATGATGTTGAAGATGGAGAGCGTATTGTTGATGTATCCATCCATGGTGTAGTGGGTGTGCTCCCCATAAGGAGGGATGGAAAATGACCAGTAATACACCAGGCGGGGGATCATATCTGACGTGAAAGCGATGATCATGGCCTATGTTGGAGAGGTGGAGAACAATAAAGGGGTTAATTTAGAGCTCACGTAGTTACGGTTAACAAAGTCAAAATGACTGTTGTCATCAAATTGATATTTTAATCAAAGATTCAGAAACCTTCATTCTTTTCTAACTCTGAAATATATACAAATAGGGAATGTCCTAAAATCTTGCTTTTTTTAAGTAACTTTTCATTGTGAATTGAGTGAAGGTTTACAGAGCAGATCATCAGTTTGACATTCAACAATTGTTTCGTTCTTTTCATTTTAATGACTGTAATCTTCTCCATGTACCAACAGTCTCTAGTCCTGTTAAATCTTACATTCCTCCCTGTATCTTCCTCTACCTTCATGCCTCTTCTGACAACTTCCTTCTTATTGCCTATTGCCTTTCCCGTCACCCAAGTGAACTCATGTCTATATTCTAGCCAGTGAACAATTTGACCTAAAATCTTTATCCTGAAATCTCTGACAAGCTGCTTTAAGTAGAAGAGTTCCTTTATTTTTGGTCTTCAATTCTAAGTTCACTTGTAGTTTAAATGCAATGGTCTGATAGTGGTCTGTGCTGACCCTTAAGAACACTAAACAGCTGTTATCCAGAATGACTACTGAATAAGTTACTGTGGATAACTCAGGAGTTATTGTATATATGAGAGGGATTCAAAAAGTTCCATGGGAAAATGGAGTTAAAAGATAATGGAATTTTCCCATGAAACTTTTGAAGCCCCCTCCTATTATATATATATGCTTATGAAAAATTAGACTATAAGAAAATTCAATCAACTTTAGAGTTCTACTTGATACAATTTTAATCTTTCTCTGATAGGTTAAAATGAGAAGTCATTTTGTGCACGCAATACTAAGGTTAGTATTAAAATAATTTAGCTGGATATAACTCCATTATTGAATATATAATTAAACAAAATGGAATTTTTGCCACTTATTTCTCATAAAAATAAAATATAAACTGTATAAAACATATTTTGCTTTTAAATTCACTCTTAAATTAAAAAAAAATTTAAACCCATATTTTGATTTGTTTTAAACTCTGAAAATACTTATGTTGCTTCTGAAAATACTTAATAGAGAATAATAGCTGTTTACTAATTTTAATAAAATATGAGTTGTTGTTATTGTTGTTGTTAAGTGCCGTCAAGTTGGTTCTGACTCACAGCAACCCTGTATAGGGTTTCCAAGGAGTGGCTGGTGAGTTTGAATCACAGACCTTGTGGTTCAAACTGAACTTACAGTCTAGTGCTTATCCTATAGCGCTGTACCAGGACTCTAAAATATGGGTAGCAAGACTATAATAGGCTTCTGAATTCACACTGTCAGACAGACAATGATGTCTGCTTTCTATAGCAATTATATAAAAATTATCAAATATCATAAAGAAAGTCTGATGTGTTCCCAGATATAAGGAAAAAATATAGAACAATCTTAAACCTGGGTTTGGGTCAGGAACACAGCTATTAGGATGTAAAGCTGATATGAATGATATGAATTTTCCCTAATGTTTTTAAATTTGGATTTTAGATTCCTCAATATGTAAAATTGGTTTGAAGGAAGGAAAAAGTAGAAAGCATTCTTTACACCAACTTCTGTGTGAATAAGCAAAGCTAAATGATTCAGTCATTAACTGAAGCAAAAGAACAGACATGTTTTTGGCTCAACATGATTTTTAATAGTATTCATCTGAACATATGGCTTAGACACAGTGAGACCACAAACCAACAAACAAGAACTCAGGGAAAGCAAGAAAAACAACTAAGGGCTTTTCAATTGGATAAGTTCCTCCTTAGGCCCAGCTTTGTTATTTCCTCTGAAACAAAAAAACTGGTATGCGTGGGTCTGTGATGGCAGTGCTGGGGTGAGTCAAAAGGATTTCCCTCTTTTCCATTTTCAATAAACTAACTATTTTAGTTCTCATTTAACTCACTACATCTTTTCAGAGTCACCTGCAGATGTGCTTCAAGAAGCTACAAAGAGCTCAACTAGAAGAAGAAAGAAGAGGGGGAAAAAAAGAATAATATAATTTGATGAACTTGACCTATAACTATGGATGCTGTAGCTCAAAAGAGGGAACAAATCTTTACAGCAAGGATCATTCCCACCCCCTCCTTACACAGAGTAAAAAGGGATGGGCAACTTGGACATTGGCTACCCAAAATGGGGGGCGGGGAGGCTTCACAGGCAAGAAGTGATTGGCTTCCAAGCTTTCAAGAATGAATCTAGATCCAGAGGGTGCAGAGGAAAGGCAGAATCTCCACTGAGTAGTATCCAATCTGTCTAGGTGGGGCTGATGAAAGGAGATGCGGATAGGTCTCTTGTGATACAACAGTGAATAATTGTTATCAGGACTGATTGTGAGGGTTGGAAATGTAAAGGTAGATGTTTTGTAGCAAGGCAGGGAGTGATTAACTTTGCAGTCTAGAAAGTGGAGGTCCCTGGGACCATCAAGAGAGAAGAGTGGAGAGCGGGACCCTACCCAGAGAAGCAGTGACACCAGAGATGGAGGCAGAGACGATGACATGGAGAGATGGAATGGCTGGAGACTTTAGACCCAGAGAGGGAGAGGGGCTGTGTCCTGATGACCGGGGTGGGGGGGAGGGGCAGGCTTGCAGGGTATACCCTGTGGTTGGTTGATGATGCATGGAGGGGATTGTAACCATGGCAATGAAATGATATACGATAGGATGAATGTAAAGCTAATGGTCTCCCATGTAAACTATCACATAATTCACAATAAAACGTTAAAAAAAAAAAAAAAAAGAAGAAGAAGCTATAAAAACTCCAACAAGAAAGATCATTCTATTGTCTTCTGACAAGATACGTTTTCCTCCCTAAATTGAGATGCTTTCAGAGACATGCTGCAGGAGTACAAGTAAATGCAGGGTGCTTCATTTCCCACGCTGTTCTGAACACAATTTTCCATTTATATCAAAATAAATTAAAATTGGTCTTCAATAGCAGATGCTCTGGCATGATACAACAATGTCAACTCAGCTTGTTTATTGAAACAGCAGCTTTCAAATGAGTGATTTTCTACCCAACTTCTGCTCAGTACCCACCCTCAGCCCTGGTGGCTATTCTCTTGTTTTTATAGTGCAAAGTTTCCTCTTCTAGAAAGTTGGCACATTAGATTCTTGAGACACACATGAGATATGTGAGGGGTTGAGGGTATGTAAAAGGGGGCTTCGAAATGTTCATGGAAAAATGGAATTAAAAGATAATGGGATTATTATATGTGAGGGAACAGTATATAAATATTTAAATCTTATATACATATAAATATTAATACGCATGATTTTCACCCTTGAAGCTATACAAAATCCTCATATGGAAGAGAGTATTGTTTATAATTTAACTAATGTCACAACTCAAGGTGCTGTGAATGACTTAGTATGACCCTTCTAGACATTGGTTTTCTAACTCCCACCAGTGACTGGGTGGTCGTGGCTGTTATGTGCTGTTGAGTTTGCATACTCCTGGTGTGGCACTGTGAGGTAATGCACTGGACCCCCAAGGTCAGTTTGAATCTCAAGGTCAGCTGTTCAAATTCACCAGCTGCTCCTTGGAAACTTACACAGAGTCTCTATGAGTTGGAACCAACTCGATGGCACTTAATAACACCACCACCACCCTGTCCTGGTGTGTTACTGAGTCAGTTCTGACTGACTCATATACACTGAACTGCTAACCACAGTTTCAAACCCCCCAGCCGATCTTCAGAAATCCAATACAGATTGTTTGAATCGAAACCAACTCAGTGGCATTAACCAGCCTCAACAAAGGGGAGTCCTGGTGTGGCACTGTGAGTTAATGCATGGGACTACAAAGTCAGTTTGAATTGCAAGGTCGGCAGTTCAAGTTCACCAGTCATTCCTTGGAAACTCTACAAAGGGTCACTATGGGTCAGAACCAACTTGATGTCACGTAACAACAACAACATGGGGATTAATCAATTTTGCCATCCTGCTAGGCTTAAAACAAGTCATCCCACAGGCAGAAAGGGATTTCACTACCATCAAGACAGAAGAGCTAGGAGTAGAGCATGTTCTTTGGACCCGAAATTCCTGGGCTGAACTTTCTTGATCTACAAGACACAGAGCTGTGACATCAGAAACAAGAGCTGGTGAGAAGCAACAATAGAGAAATAACAGCAGCAGAACTGATTCAATACAGAGCAATGAGTGTTCTATCCTAAAGGGTAAGAAAGCTGAGTGCCTTCGGGCAGGAGTCTTGCTGGCAGAATGTGGTGATTCTGGACATTTACTGCTGGAATTAGGCTCACCAACACATGGGGTGAGAATCCCAAGTGCCGGAGGTTTGGGCAGGAGGTTTGCTGGTGGAGTGGGCGGCCTCTGAGTATCTACTGGAAGAGCTAAAAAAGCTCTGTAACTTACCTCAAAATGGCGGGAGCTAGGCCAAGGTGCCAAGTGTCAGAGGGAGTGCAGGCCCAGCTGAGAGGAAGCTGGTTCTGATCAAAGAGCTCTACCCAGGATATTCCTGAACCTGTTACTTTCCTAATAAACCCTTAACTGTGTATGCCCTGTGAGTTCTGTGCGGCCATGGCAATGGATTATGGAATCCAGCATAGAAGTTGAGAGCAGTAGCAGAGATGGTTGGTGTCAAAATTGGTAAAACAGCTGGAGGGTGGAGGCATGTCTGACCTCCACTTCATAGCATTGGCTATGGGTTGATGCTGATGGTGATTCTTTCTCCCCTTGGTGAAGTCAGATGCCACCCCCGTAAACAGTTTTCTCAGGATATTATAACATGAAGTCTAAGTTACAAGAAAAAAAACCCCAACAACTATTGGGTAAGGCCTAGTAGTAGCAATTAGCAAGCATGTATGTGCTGGTTTGCATTTGTACACATATGTACATATATACAAGGTACCCTTGGAAGTGCAACCAATACTTCATCTGTGCTAATGGAATGGAGCCATAGCATGGATACTGGGAAAAGGTTCCTAATATAATCAAACCAAATGCTTGAGGAATGGGGACTTAGAGTCAATTGGATTTTCTGGTTAGCTGAAGGTCAAACAGAAACCATTTAGTTTCAAACCCTGTTGCAGAAGAATTTTCTAAAGCATAAAAAGTTTACATTTCTGCCTTGTTTAGTAGCATATACTGAATATGACAGATTCATTCTTTTGTGACTTTGGAACTTGAAAGGTTTCACTGTCATACTTCTGAACATCAGTCTTCATTCTGTTACAGAGTGGATGTTGAAGGTACGGGTATTTGGGTGAATGGAAACTGACATATCCTAACAGTTGGTTTTTGTGTGTGATATGCAAGTTTCTCCAAAAAGTATAGATAGCCTGCAATTCAAATAAACTGAGAGTTCTTAAGAGTGGGGGTGACAGCTGAGTTTCAGATAACTTGTTTTATTGTATAAGACTGTGACCATAGCCTAGACAGTGGCACGTTTTGAAATTCTTATGGCTTTAGTTACAGTACCTGCCAGAGCCCTCAGAGTCAGTATTAATAATGATGAGTACTGAAGATGATAAAATAGCAGTAGCTGACATTCAATTAGAGCCAGGCTTTGTATATTTCATTATTAACTCATGGGCGTCCTTTAACCACCCATTGTGGTATATACTAGTCTTACAATATGTGGTAGGTTTTATCATTTTACAAAAGATAAAATGATGCTTTGACATGTTTAGATCTGGTTCGACATCTTGTAGCATGGAAGTTATGGTGATGAGATTTGGAGCTTGGGTTGCAACTCTAGATCTGCAGTGCTTAGCAACTTCCCCATGGTGAAGCTTGACTCATAGGCACTATCCAGTTCTATTCTGTTTCTAAAGGGGCTCCTGGGAAGAGGCTGTGAGCACTTGCAAGTATGGCTTGAATAAAAATAAAAATTAGAAAATAATTTTGTTGAGGAAGTTGATCTGAGAAGAAATAAGTATGAAATGGCCCTGGTTTTAAGGACATTTAATGAAATGGTGTGGTGCTGCAGGATAAACACTGAACTGTTCACTACCAGGTCGGTGGTTCAAACCCACCAGCCAGTTGCTCCTTGGAACTCCTATATGTGGGTCGCTATGAGTAGGAACCGATTCAATAGCATTTAACAACAACTATAGAAGGAGGGCCCCTAATAACTGGTGTGGGAATTGCTCTCTAACCTCCACATTGTAGGCCTGCGCAAAAAGAACACAACTGTTTTAATTAGTCCAGAATCAATTACTGCGGGCTGTTGGTGCTGTAGGATAAGTCCTAGACTTCTAAGTGCAAGGTTGGTGGTTCAAACCCACCAGATGCTCCTTGGAAACCCCAAACAGGGTTGCTATGAATCAAAACCAACTCAACAGCACATAATAACTTAATCAACAACTGAGTTTTGTGATGCTGTATAATCAGCACTGGACTGTGAACCAGAAAAGTCAGCAGTTCAATCCCACTAGCTGCTCCCCGGTAAAACTTATACAGGGTCACTATGGGTCAGAATCGACTTGACAGCACTTAACAACAACAGTATAGCTAGTTTGGAGTTAAGGTGTGGTACTGTCGAATAAACTCTGGACTACTAACCTTAAGGTTGGCAGTTCAATCTCACCAGCCACTCCTGGGAAACCCTATACAGGGTCGCTATGAGTTGGAACCGACTTGACGGCATTTAACAACAACAAAGTTGGGATACAAGCAGCACATGAAGCTGCTCTACCAATGAACAGAGTGTGACAAGCAAATAAAACAAAGAATGAGCAGAAAGAAGTAATGAGACACATCCTAAATCCTTCTCCTTGCCCTGGAGACAAGGAAGATAACACACAACTGGAATTGTACAAAGTGTTTAGGCTTCATCAGCAAATAGTTAATATTTTAAGTACATACTTTGGGATACATAGTAAAATTTGGTAGAATTATAGCTCTCATTTCAGGGTTCTAAAACTCTAAATGAATGGATATCTACTTACTTTATCAAAACACTGTTAGCTAGCTTTTACAGAATTATACTTTAATTCTCACGTGAGAATTAAGAGTCCGTACTTAGTATGATTACTACTATCATCATATTTCTACTGAATAAACCTTTATTACATAAGTAACAATAGTACAATGGTCACTCTTTGCAACTGCCTCTGTAGGAGGACTTTGCAAAATAATAATTACAGTTATTACAATTATGCTGTTTATATGGATGAGAATCATGGCATCTTCTTCTTATAAAACAAACAAGCAAACTAACAAACATTTGACTTCTTAGATAGCACTCTACTGCATTTTCAGACTTTTCAAGGTCTTTACCCTGTGAAGCCTAGGTCTACTCACATTGGTTACCACAGCCAGAATTGCTATTCCTTGCATGATGGGCTGCCACGCGCCGATGTCCTGGGCCTTTTCTGGTACCATACGTCTATACTGGGTAGTCAGTTTCCATGCGTCCACTCTTATTTCCAATATATTGTTCACCAGAGCCAACAGAGGTGCCAGTGGAAAAGAGGCCACAAATAAGGTGACGAACCCAAACTGAATAACTGTCAATGGAATGGACACACATCACGGAATGGTGGATGGATGGAAGACACACATTTTTTTCTTTACTCTTGTAAAGAAAGAGGAAGGCAAATAAAGGATTAAATCTCACAGAGAAAACATATCTGTGGTGAATGAATAACAACTTAACGTTGAACAGTGAAAGAATTCAAACAAAACACAAACATGAAATCTCGGGAAGGAAGACTAATTATAGCCCATTTTTTCATATGTATATACTTAATAGGAACAATATATTTAAAAATCTTTAATCAACCTGATTTATTTGCTGGTAACAAACTTGAGATATTCTAACTAAGCACATTATTTGTTCTCAGTGTTGAAATAATGGAGTGTTAGAAGATTTGCGACTCTGAATAGAAAAATAAAATGAATATTGTGGGAGACTCTAACAAGTTAAAAAGAAATAAGAAATGTACCTTTGGGAAGGTTATGCTTACAAAATGTTTGCAGAGATGACTGAAAATAGGCAAATGAGCAAGTTCCCCTGAGCCAACAAATGCAAACATAGCATACAGAGAATTTATAATATTACATATCATAGAAATATATGTGATAAAAAGCATCTTAGTAAGTAATAATATAATCCTTCTTTAGAGCTTTATCTTGAAGTTTTTATAGTTCATAAACCAGAGAGCTAAAACAAAAAAAAAAATTAACAACTTTAGACCCTTCTCTCCTAAACAGCAGACATTGGTGTGGCATTGTTGGATACACACTTGACTGCAAGGTCGGTTTGATCTGCAACGTCAGTGGTTCAAACCCATCAGTTGCTCTTCAGAAACCCTATTCAGGGTCGCTATGAGTTGGAACTGTCTGATGGCACTCAACAACAACAATACAGATATGGACTCCTGGTGTGGCACAGTGGGATCAGCACTGGATTTTCAACTACAAGGTTGGAGTTTCAAACCTACATGCTGCTCCTTGGAAACACTATACAGGGTTGCTATGAGTAGGAACTGACTTGGTGACACTAGTACAGATATAGGAGACTTGGTAGTATAGTGGGTTATGCATTGGGCTGCTAACAGCAATGTTAGCAGTTTGAGTCCACCAGGTGCTCCATTGGAGAAAGATGAGGCTTTCTGCTCCCAGTAAGATTTAGTCTTGAAAACCCTATACAGGGTTGTTATGAGTCAGAATTGACTCCACGAGACACCACCACCACCACAAATATGGGAACCCAAAGGCATTGTAGGATACGTACTGGATTGCTAACCACAAGTCTGCTGTTGGAGCCTACCAGTCGCTCCATAGGACAAAGATGAGACTTTCTGCTTCAGTAAAGTTTATAGCCTCAGAAACCTCATATAAGATTATGAGTCAGAAATGACTACACAGTTCTTAACAACAATATACAGATATGGAGTTCCTGGGTGGTGTAAACTGGTTAACACACTTGACTGCTAACCACAAGGTTGGAGTTTCAAGTCCACTCAGAGGCACCTATTCTAAAAAAAAGAAAAAAAAAATCTGCTGTAAAAACCTTATTGAGTATAGATCTACTCAACACATATGGAGTTCACCATCGTCACAACACACTCAATGGCAATTGATGATACAGATAAGCAAATAAGATTGTAAGGAGTGGAAAACATATAATCTCTTTAGGGCTATTTTTCTCAGACAAGGGCCAAGAACCACACTGGCTAGGATTGTGGAGACTGTGGTTACACAGGAGGAGCTGGTAGCATTTGGTTCTGGTCTAAGAGGCCAATGGCATGTTGTAGAAGGATGTGGTGAGGCAAGGAATTCAGACAGACAGGGACCAGGGTGGGTGATGTTTCAGAGTCAGGAGCAGCAGCACTGAGCAGTGTCTACAACTCATCCAGAGTGTGTACTCTGATGATCTCTGTTTCTCCACCACTCAACCCTAAATTAACTCCCTGTCTGTAGGGGTCAGACAAGTCACAGAAAGTTGCAGAGTTGATGCAGAGCAGGCTGTGGCAAACTGGCAAGTGCAATTCCTACTAAAAGGGAAATTGACGGGTACCATGTTGGAAACTGAGCCCAATGTTAAAAATACCAAGGAGAAAAGATGCCTTTTATAATGATAACAAAAGCACAGATTATTTAGGAATAAATTAATGAGAAACACAGAAATGTTAATAATAGTTGGTTTTAAAAATAAGAAAATAAAAAACCAGAAAATAAAGGAATTAATGAAGGGCAGGGTATACCATACTCCTGACCTGGTAGTCACAAATTTGGAGACATATCAAGTTTTTGTTTCCACAAAGTAGTTCAGAAGGCAGTGAAATCCGGTTAATAATCTCCAATGGATTTTAAGGAAAGACCTGAAAAATGACTCTAAAGGGTTTTAAGAAATACAAACAAACAGATAAAACACTAAGAAAGGATGTTTGTACTGACAATGTTAGGAACATTCTGAAATAGAAGAATAAAATGCAAGTAGCTCTAGGAGACACTAAAAGAGTATTATAATGTTATGGTAATTGAAACAGTTTAGCACCAGTATGAATTAGACTAGATTCCAAGCATAGATGCAAATATTCACAGGATTTCAGTGTTTGTTGTTGTTGTCAGGTGCCATCGAGTCGGAACCGACTCATAGCGACCCCATGCACAGCAGAACGAAACAATGCTTGATCCTGGGCCAACCTCACCACCGCTGCCACCCCCGAGTCCATCAATGATGCCACCTGGTCGATCCATCTCGTTGGAGGTCTTCCTCTTTTTCTCTGACCCTCCACCCTACCCAGCATGACATCCTTCTCCAACGATTGTTTCCTCCGGACTACATGTCCAAAGTAGGAGAGACGAAGCTTAGCCATCCTGGCCTCCAAGGAGCACTCTGGCTGCACTTCTTCCAAAACAGATCTATTGGTTCTTTTGGCAGTCCATGGCACCCTCAGTATTCTCCTCCAACACCACAACTCAAAGGCATCAATTCTTCTACGATCCTCTTTATTCACTGTCCAGCTTTCGCTGGACAAGATTGACACTGAAATTTCAGTGTTTAGTATATTATAAAATGATGTTTCAAATCAGTGGATTCAAGTATCGCAACAACTAGCTAAATTATTGGAAAAATTGGTATGGAGCTCTCCTCTCTTTTGACATCAAAATAAATTACAGATGAATTAATTTTTTAAATGGAAGAATAAGGCACCAAAAAAATAACAAAAACCAAAGAGTATGTATAATCTATTCTGACACCCAAATGATAAGAATGTTCTAGAAACTTTTAAAACCAAGAACCTTCCAAAAAATGAAAAGACTGATGCATTTAGCAAGACAAAAAAATCACTCATTGAGGAAACAAAAATAGCCCTTGCCTGAAACTTTTTCATGTCCTGGTGTGGTGCTGTTAAATAAGCACTGGATTGCGTATCACAAGGTCAGCAGTTCAAACCCAGCAGCCGCTTCTTGGAAACCCGACACAGGGTCACTGTGAGTTGGAATTGACAAGGTAGCACTTAGCAGCAGCAACAACACTGCTGCCATTACTTTCTGTGTTTTTTTTCCCTTTACTTTATAGTCATGTTTCTAGAAGGCAGTGTCTACTCTGATGATCTGTTTCTCTACCACTCATTTTCTCCTCAAAACCCTACACTCTGCACTGAAGGAATCAATGGGTCGGGTAAAGAATTAAAGGACCCTGCTGCTAGCCAGAAAATCCACCCAAAGACACCTTGGGACAAAGCACTGGAGATGTCCTTTCCAAAACTGAAAATTCTATGAAGCACAGTTCTGTTCTGACACACATGAGGTCACCATGAGCCTGAACTGATTCGTAGGCAGCAGGTTTATTGCATTGAAACTACTCTTGTTAACTTCATTAGGGAGCTGTCTGTTTTAAAGTCAATGTACATTTTATTTGTGTCTGTTCTGATTTCGCAATGCAGTTCACAACTGAACTGGCTGCAATCAGTTGAAGTCCTGTTTTAAATGTTCCCTTTTCCTATGGCTTCATCTTCAGTTCTCTGTCAACCTCTCTTGATTCACTCTCATGTCCTTACCTGAGGCTCCTCTGAGCTCCTGATTTGTTTGTCCTACTTTCTTGGATGTTTTATAGACAGACACTTTACACCTAGTATAGCCATCATTTCCTGAAACCAGTTCCTCTTCTTGCATCCTTTCCTGCTCATTCAGTCTCGTGGAAATTATCTTAGACAATTCTATTCCATATCTGCCATAGAATAGTTGTTAATGTTGTTAGGCACCGTAGAGCTGATTTTCAATCCACAGCAGTTAATGTGACAGAGTAGAATAGTCCCGTAGTATTTTCTAGGCTGTAATCTTTATGGGAAGGAGCTCTGGTAGCGTAGTGGTTACGAATCGGGCTGCGAACCTAAAGGTCAGCGGTTCGAAACTACCAGCTGCTCTGCAGGAGAAAGATGAGGCTTTCTACTCCCGTAAGGATTTACACCCTCGGAAACCCTGTTCGGGGTCGCTATGGGTCGGAACCGACTCGACGGCACGTAACAACAACAACAATCTTTTTGGGAACAGATCACTAAGTCTTTGTCCCAGAGTTGTTAGAGGGGTTTGAACCGCAAGCCTTTCAGGTAGCATCCAAGCACTTAACCACTGTGCTACCAGAGCTTATGGACATAAAATTAGTCACCTTTTGACATGCAATCAAATATGTTCCTTGTCTCTAGTGCTGTATCCACAACCTCAATTTAGTTGCCTACCACTTGTTGTCTGGGTTAGCTGCTATTGCTATAGCCTTCTGAAAGATCTCCCTCAAACCAATATGGCCCCGCTCCAAAATAGTATCTTCTATCTTGCTGCAAGAATAACATAGCCACGACTCTCTTGCTTACAAATATTACAATGGACTCCTCTTCCTGTAAGTATCAAGTTCAAGTTCCTAGGCTAAGTACAGGACACCCATCATGACATGGGCTTTGCTTTCCTGATAGTCTCACCCACGGAGCCTTTGTCCTATCCATATTCTATTTATTTGGCATTTTTTGAACCTGTCAAACTATTTCATGACTTTGTGCTCTGAAAGGTGTCCACCTCTCTGCATGAAGCATCCTTTCCCATCATCATGTTTTAGATCACTAACTTCTACTCACTCTTCAAAATTCAGTTCAAATTTCACTTTCTCTAGAAAACTTACTTTGCATCCACCTTCTTAGTGACCCACTAAGTGCTCACCCCTTCTCACCTGGCTCTGTGAGGGCAAGGACCAAGTCTAACCTGTCCCTGGCAACTAATACAGTACAGTGGCAAAAGCTAAGTGCTCAATGAATGTTCACTGAATGGACTAATAGATGAAGAGAGAAATGTGCAAATCCTCTTCATTTATCTAGCTAGTAAATGGCAATGCAAGTGATGGGCATGGACACAGCAGAGATGAGGGAAGCAGGGAAGGAAGGCTGAGTCTTGGAGAGTGCAGGGAGGTTTCAGTAGGGATAGTGTTGGGAGGGGAGGCAAAGAAAAGGGGGGTACAAGATATTGAAGAAGAACTGATGTTAATTACAGTAAGTTAAATGGAAAAAAATAGTATGTGAAACTCATTTTTAATGGATTTTTAAAACCGAGCTTGGATATTGAAGAAGATAATGTCATATTAACATGGCAGAGTAGAGGAGGCAGTATCAGCAACAAACAGGGTTCCCTTCATCATTTTGCTACACTTAATTTATGGCATCAGCTCACTGAGGAGGTACCAATGCATTTACAAGATACCTATGTCTATGCTGTATAGCACTCTTTGTATAAAATGGTATCTTCCGATGTTTAGATTTTAAGACTGGAAAGACGATTTCTCTTATGTTCTGTGTCAGGAAGTTCTTGGAAGTCAGGACCAAACACTCTGGGAATCAATCATGGTTAACACTCCAGGGTTAGTCTGGCAATCTCAAAGGCTGTTCTGAAATTCACTAATAAAATTTGTCTTAAAAAAATAATACGTCATTCAGATCTTGGTGTGAGTTGGTGAGGCAGTACTGCAAAACCAGCCAACAGTTGTATGTGTTGAAACTCCACTTTATAAATACTCATGAGCACTCAGTTCCAAGCACTGAGAAGGTGAGGACTGAAAAAAAGTAAATGGCTTGATAGTTACTTCCAACACAAGCTGGGGAGAGAGGCATGCAGAAATTATATTAAATATAATTAATAAAGGCATACCATATATTAAGTACCAGACTCAAGATAGGTAGCAAGTACTGTTAAGACTTAGAGAAAAGAATAGTAAATATATATTAAAAGTTGAGAAATATCACTGGAGCTAAGTAGGAATTCACCAGATAGAAAAGAGGGGAGAAGGTGCTTCAGACAGAGGTGAGTTCCAGGTCCCTCCATGGGGCAGAGGCAACAGAGCTGGATGGCCAGGTGCAAAGCCCAAAGATGGGTGGAGGATCCCTGGGTTATTTGCCACAGATGGGAATATCATTCATTAATATGGGGAAACAAGAAGAAGGGGGCTGTTTGGTGGTGAGACCATTCTCAAAGACATTCAATATTTATTTTTTGGAGGAACAAAAACATGTCAAAAGGCAATGGAAATTTTGTCTTCTACAGACAAAAAATAAATTTCACCCTACTATTGAATAAAGAATAACAGCTGTGTACTCTTAGAAATTGATTAGTTTTTCTAAGTCACTAGGTATTACTTGCATCGTAGGAAAACAATTTCATAAATCTAAAAATCTGTCTATAACAGCTGTTACTTTATCTTTCCTTGTAAGGTAGGATGAGGTCAAATTATATGAAACTATAAAGCCATATCAGCTTCCCTACCACTCTAAAACATAACCATTTCCTCTCATCCAATGCCATTCCTTTGACTATTCAGCTATAGAACAAAACAAAACTTTTATCACGTTTCTTTTTTATGTGCTAAAATAATAAATGGCATACTATTAATGTTGATAATAGCTCCAAAAAGAAATATTTGCGATTATGACTCATTTTAGAATAAGAGGTAATTGTCTTGTAGTCTTTTTGGAAATAAACAGACAGAGTAGTTCTACATTATGTTCTGCAGCTACACCTTTAACAGAACTTGGTCACAAAACAGAAAAAAAGGAAAACTGAAATTCAAATCAGACTCCAGCCTGCTGCAAAGTATTGTTGACTGAAGAAGCCACAAGATGAACCTTTCACTCACTGAAGGCAGCAGATGTGTTTCCATGTATAATGTATATTTTTAAAAGCAATTATTTTATATATAGAATGTGATTTAATAAAACTGCCCTCTATCTGCAGACTTGTAAACAGGAACCACAAAAGGGTGTCTGCAAGATGCATAAAGTTTCATGCATATATGCAAGACCTGTCAACAAAATTGTTGTGCCTCCTTTTCTATTCTCCTAAGCTTAAAAATATTGTAATTCAATGCAATGGTTAGCTGAAAGGGCAGATAGAAAACATGTAGATTGTTAGCCTTCTATTAGATATAAGTGTGTCATGCATAATAGAAAAGATGGTGTTTCTTATGGAAATCTAGTTTGAGGTGCATCCATTTAAAGGCAACTTAGAGTTCAAAATCAAGTTCAACTGAAGAGAAATGGAGCCCAAGCAAATAATATGTAAACGGACAAAGACATTTGGGAAGGAGGGGACTGTGCCAAATCTTAGTTGCAAATCAGCAGAATGCTTCTGAATTCAGCCAGTGATTAGCCATGGCATGGTCACTGAAGGAACTGGGCAGAAACCATCCGCCAGAAGACATGGACATGCTGCCAAAGGCAGCAGTGAGGTAAGGAAGTGAGTACCTTGTGACCATCCCTGTCACAAATACCATTCTCCAACAGGCTTTCTTAAATGGTGCAGTTCAAAAGTCTACCAGCCTATGTGGACTCGGCTATAAACTGAATCACACTGAGTTCATTCTCAGACTACAGAGTTCGAATGCTTGATAATTAATACTGAAAATGTACCTCAATGAATATTCCATTTCATTGCTTGGTAATAAACCACATGCATATTGACAAAGATGCATATAGTTACCTTATTTGAAAGTTTGATTGTATGATTTTATCAAGTGGGGAAAAACATTTCAATAAGCTAAATCATTATTTGGTTCAATAACAGATGCTTCTGAAATTCAAAACATACTTCACCATACTTGCATGATTCAGACTTTGTGGATTACTTACTCATTTCAAGATATTCATAAAATAATCCCAGTTTGCCTATGGGCTGCAAATGGTAGTCCTGTTCCCATCTTGGGGTTATCTTTTCTGATCCTGAAACTCTGTGATACCGTCCGATTAGATTCATGATCCAGCTGCCAAAAGGATCAAATTATAAATTAGAATTTTATCAGACCAAGGTTATAAAAGTATTTTGCTGATATCTCAAAGCTGAACACCCAATCTTTCCCAAAATGAGTTTCATGTTTTCCTGCTAAATGTAGAGCAATACAATTTATTTATTTTTTCCTGCCTCCTGTGCTGAAATATTTTGAAATATAAGACTCTGTATGTATCTGTACTTGTCAAAACTGCAATTGTTACTATTTTTCCTCTGGATAATTTAATTTTTAAAAGATACTTTCTTCATTTGACTAATTTTAAACCTTTTTTCCCCTCCCTGTTATTCAACAAGGTCTTTCCATTGTGAAAACCACCAGGGTTGAAGTTGGATTGCACCTTGTCCTTCCCACCCCAGTTTGGCATGACTGAGATAGACTACAGTGACAGAGCAGCTCTACATTAAGAAGACATAAAATGTACAAAAGGAGAAAACCCACTTTAAGTTTCTCAGTGGAGAGGAGAAAGTGTGAATGGCAATGAAAGGCAGAGGGCAGTGGATGCAAAAATGTGGTGGGAAAATTCCGTTATCTTTAAATTTCATTCTTTCATGAATTTTTTGAAGCCCCCTCATATAGCACTCCTGGAATGTAAGAAGTCTAGCTAACATGAACTTTTTAGAAAGCAATTTAGTATTACTTATCAAAAGCCTTAAATATGCTCCTAAGTGTTTACTCAGTGATTCTACTTTTAGACTCTTTCAAGAAAATAATCAGTATACAAATAGAGAATATTTATATTGTTGCAGTATCCTTTATCATATAAATGCTCAGACACAGAAAACTATTTAGCACATATGAATATAATGCAGACATTAAATGTTTTCAAATAATTTTTAATAATAGGGAAAATTTTCATGACATACTGCTTAGTTAAAAGCCAATCATCCAGCAATATTTATTCAGTATTTCTTGTGTGACCAAGTGTTGGGATTGAAGGTGAGGATATGGAGTAAGTAAATGGAGATGCATCCTATCTTGGGTACTTTTGTATGACAAATACTAAAAGAAGATCATGTCCTACTATTTAACAAGGCACAGAATGGGTGGTATAAATGGTTAAGTTCTTGACTACTAGCCCCAAACTGATCATTTGAGTGCCCCCAGTGGTGCCTAGGAAAAAGAGCCTGGACCTCTGCTCCTCCCCAGGGCAGCCTTGAAAGCTGTTTGTAGCACACGAGACTGACACACGAGGCTGCTATGAACTGGGATCGACTTGACAGCAATTTCTTTTTTTGCTGGTTAGTACTTAACAAGGGACCCAATTTAGTCAGGAGAATCAGAGAAAGCTTCCCTGAGTAAGTGAAATTTATGCTGAGACTTGAAGGATGAGCCAAACAAAGGACATATATTATGACCCCAATCCTATTTATGTAATTAAGAGCACCAAAGCCGTATTATACAATATTATGGCTTTCCAAACCCCACTTATTGGAAATAGTTCCCTTTGCTCCTGGGGTTCTTCCCATTCTGGCTCTCCCAGATACCTAAACCTAGATGATCACTCCTTTGCTTGTAACCCTTTCCTCTAAAATCCCCTAACTATTTGGCAAGATCGTCCAACAAGACACAATGCCCTGAATATTTGGAAGCACCTTCTTGGTCTTAGAAGCCTATGTAAGACTAGGAGCAGACGACAATGGCATTAAAACACTGAAGGCTGAGGTGGATGGAAAGGTCTGGACTTCTAGTCAGAGGACACGGTTCAGATTCTAAGTATGTCCCTTCCTAGCTGTGTATTCATCCACAAGTCTCTTAGCCAATCTGGATTTTCAGTTTCCTCTTCTAAAACTGGGGGTTATGATGATTACCACATAAGAGCATGACGGTGGTTGTGTCTAGCCTAGTGCCAAGGACATAGCAAGTACCCAACCAAAGACAATGGAATCAAAGGGAACTGCCTTCTGTTCTCTCAAAAAACCAAGAGGCAGCATACAGGTGAGGACAAAAGGAGCAGGTGAGGGGTTTTACTGTCCCAGTGAGGGAATCCTTTCCAAACACAAGGAAATAGTGTTCCCTAGGAGCAGAACTTAAATCTACCTCTACCAACAGCAGAACATATGGTAGGGAGGGCCCAGAAAGGGTCTAGGTATATGTGTAGGTATATACTTTCAGGTATATGTGGTCAACAATAGCACCTCTGTTTCACCGTGAACAGAAGTGGTGTTATCATCTTTCCCTATACAACACTCCAGTGACCAAAGTAAATGATAGGTGTCACTACATCTTGCCTGTCCATCCATCCATCCATCCATCCATCCATCCATCCATCCATCCAACGACCTAACCCTTGCCTGGCATTGCAGTGAAAACAACAGTCAGAAATTCCTGCACTCACAAAGTGCCAATTTTAATAAGTCACAGAGAAAATAAACAAAATAGAGTATGGGGGCTGAAGGTAAATGCTGTGGAAAAAAACAAAGAAAGGAATGGAGAGTCCATATGTTTGGATTGGAAGGAGTAGGATGGGACCAAAAGAGACCTCACTGAGATTTGAACAGGATGTGAAGGAGGTAAAAGGCAAGCTCCTGAGGGGGAGAATGTTCTAGGCAGAGGGAACAGGGGCTACAAAGAACCTGATGCAGGAGTAGACCTTCCAGTAGGAAACAAGAATCCATTGTGAAGATATCAAAGTACTTATCAAAGGGAAAATGAGAGAATTTCAAATTTGATAAAATAAGTCCAAGACCCTATTTTAAACCAAACAAAAGTTAAATGACTTTCAGATCATAGTGCAGAGCTAGGAGAAAACAGCCTTGCTTGTGTAACAACTACTAGTTTACTCTCTCTAGAGTTGCCTGTTGTCTCTTCCATTCTAGGCTCTTTTTTTGTTTGTTTGTTTCTTCTCCTGTCTCAAAGCTTTGTAGGCCAGATGAATGCTTCCTTTTGTCATGGCAATTTGTCCTGAAGAGAAATCTGAGCTGGCAGTGAAATGAAGTGTGCATCTATAAAGACTCTTGTCCCCTAAAGCAACAGAATGGCTGGCCTGTGATTTACCAGGCCTGTGGTGTACTCATGGAGTTCATCAGAGGAGGCACAACAGCAAACAACTTCAAATGCAGATATCAACATCAGGCTGGGCTGCAACTGATTAAACATGATTGTATGGATTTCAGACTTGGACAATGAGAAATCGTTACTTGACTGTACAGGCAGTTGCTGTTCAGAACACTGAGCCGAACCCCATCCTCTCCATTGTGTGCACACACATTGCAGAGACACATAGACACGAAGTGTAAGATAAGAAAGACACGCAGTTCTCTATGCTGGGTTTCCCACTGCCATGGGTCTCAGTATAAAGTTTTCACTGACCATTACCCAAGTTTTACTAAGGGGAGATTTAGCTAGGAGAGAAATGCCCCCATTTCACAAATGTTTCCCAACTCCTTACTTATTAATGACATTATAGAAATAGTGTAACTGTGGAAAGTAGAGGGGATATGGTATCAGACAACCCTGAATCTGAACCCACATTCCTCTGCTTACTACAGAAACTCTATTCTTATCTCTAACATGGAGTGACAAAACCTACAGTGCCCAGGTTGTCACAAGGATTACATGATTCCAGTCTGGTAACACATCAGAACCCCTGGGCAGGATTCTCTGACCAGTGCAAATTTCATATGGCTGAGACCAACTATAAGAATGGTCCAAGTGATTCAGAATCAAGGCTCAGGGACACAGTGCTGCCTGCGTGGATGACTCCCCCTTTAACACTTGCAAGCATGACATGGGGCACTTGTTAAAAAGCGCCCCAAGTGAAAGTTCTGAAATCAGTCAAGCCTAAGGTCTGATCTGAAATCTGCAGTTACAAAACCATTCCAGATGCCTTCAGATGCAGGTGGTGCTAGAGGGCACCTATATCCATCACTCTCATGACACCCAAACCTGAGATGACTAGTTTGGGTTTTTATTGATGTATTTTTTGTTCTGCCTTAAAACTTTCAGCCTCAGCCTCTTGCTGAATCCTCTCCATGCCCCCAGAGAACCAGGAGTTTTTCAATCTGGGCCAGGAACCCATCACCATTTGGACTTGGGATGAAACCTCTGTCCTGGCAATCACTTGCATCACCAACTCACCAGGTCTTTCTTCTCAGGCTGCACAGAACCCACCACCCCCGCTGTGTATGTAAAAGTCATTCTGATTCACTTTCTTTTCTGAGCTATAGACTCAGCCTCTGGTTCAGTTTTCTTGTGGTGAACCAGTCATCTGTAGTAGGGAACGGTGAACTGTATTCCATCCATCTCTGTCCCTGGATCTTTAGATTGTCCATTGGGCTGCGATTCTAGCGCAGGGAATCTGAACTGGGACTGGGCATCAGAATCATCTACAGAACTTAAAAAATAAACACAAGTGCCCAGAGCCTCCTTGGAAATCGGAGTTACTGAACTTAGGATGAACTTCAGCTTTGGAATTTTACCTGACGTTCTCAAGCTATCTTTTCTAGACTTGTACCATCAAACTGCTAGATAGCTCTTCCCCTGACCACACCTAGAAGCCTCTCCTTCTAGTAAGGATTACAGAAGAATTTCCTTAGGAATTTATTCTGCATGCAGTATAACAACTAGCATCCTAAGTTGCCCTGTACTTATTATGTACAAACCGGGGTATGAAAAAACACTTTCAACCTCATTTTCTGTTTCTAGCTTCATTATCATATTTAACCACTTACAAAAGACAATCATCAATTCTACTTGGGACATTCAATAGTATTTCCACCTAATAATGTTGAAGTACAAGTACCCCTCATTATCTGAATTTATTCTGTTTCTGAGTTTACCATTAGCGAACTTGAACAGTAAGGGATATCTCTATTCAGGACTCTTACTGTAGGGTCACTATGATTTGGGATCGACTCTATAGCAGTGGGTTTATTATATGTATCAGGCTCATCCCCTATCAAAATATTTCTTGAGAAGTGATATTTCTCCCCATAACAGTTCATGTTTCTTATTTGCAAGAAGCCCATACCTACTATGGAAACATATAAACAGAAAACATATAAAGGAAGAAATTAATACCCATTCAACAATACAAACATCAAAGGACGATGCTATAAGCATTTTGGCATATCTGAATTGAATTATTTTCTTTAGCATTTTACTATCAACATGTCTTCAGAGTGAGCTACTTAAGGCAGGAACTGTACTAGTTTTTCTGTCAGGCTAAAGAAAATTCCTGGAATGCTTCAACCATCAAAATACAAAGTAAAGACCTGTTTCTTTCTAGGCTATACTGGTAAGGTGCAAGGGTCTGAGCTTGTTCTCTGGGTTCAGCAATCCTTCCGATTTACATATTTGAAGCATGTTGTTAGGTGCTGCTGAATCCATTCCAATTCATAACAACCCCATGTGACAGAGTAGAATTGCTGCACAGTGTTTTCTAGGCTGCAGTCTTTAAGGAAAGAGACCTAGTGGTTGGCTGCTACCAGAAAGGATCATGGTTTTGAACACACCAACTGTTCTGGGGGAGACAATTGTGGCAGTCTATTTCTATAAAGGGCATGGCCATGAAAACCATATGAGGCACCTCTGCTCTGTCCTATCTGGTTGCTAAAGCCTTACTATGAATCATAATTGACTTGAAGGCAATGGGTGTGGTTTGGTGTTTAATCTTTTAGGGAGCAGATTGCCAGATCCTTCTCCCATGGAGCTGATGGGTGGGTTCACTGCCAAACTTTTGGTTAGCAGTCAAGCACTTAATTGCTGAACTAGGACTCCTGATTTGAAACAGAGGAGTTATTCATTCACTCAATGAGTTACTACTGAGTGCCTATTACATGCCAAGTAATAGTCTAGGTACTGGAGAGAACCAAGAGGGCATCTAGGTTACTGTGCCAAACATGCGTCCATTCTTGTTCCATGAACTTAGTCAAGGGTATGGACCAGAGTTCATGATGAAAAAACAATTCTTTTAGACATGTTTAAGTAGTGTGAAAACAGTTGTTGACTTATAAGCCATTCTCTCGCTTCCTGTGTATTTTTAGGATGGGTGTAGTTTGGGATAGCAAGGGTAATTGATATATCTTTGGCATGTTAGGTTTTGTATAGAAAATGAAGAAAATTGGCAAATAAAAGAAGAAGTGACGAGAATAGCTCAAGCTACCCTCTGCTTTGGCTAACACTTAACATTCCCACTTTTCAAACAAAGGAAAAATAATTTAAAACATACTGTCTATATATTTTAGGCCAGGAGTAGAAATATCTGAAGGTTGAGTCTGATCACTGTAATTTTCAGTAATGGGCTTACTTGAAGTGAAGGTATAAACAGACCATGGATATTATATTACATCTTTTATTTTAAAATAGTTTATTGAACACATTTCATTTCATTTCATGTCATATGAATTTTCCAATACAAGTTTAGGAAATATACTCTCTCCCCTTAATGTTCAGATCAGAAAATAGATTGCCGGAATTAGTCACCAAAATTTAGTGTTGGACACCTACTTCAGAAAATGCTTTAGTAGTTTAAGCATAGCACTCAGCCTTTCCTCTATTTGCTATATTTATTTTTATACAGAAACAAATATGGATTATTTGTGCTAGCCAAGCTTCATTTATCAGGAAAAAAACTGAGTTCAGTCTCAACTAGAGGAAGATAAAAAAAAAATTTGATAAAGGAAACAAGTGTAAATTGCTACAATTTGATGAACTTGACCTATACTTATGGATGAAGTAGCTCAAAATACCAACCGAAAGGGAAGGAGTCTTCACATCAAGGATCAAGCCTATCCCCTCTGTATACAGGGTTGATAGGTATGGGCAACTTAGACATTGGCTACCTAAAATGGGGCAAGGGGCATCAATAAAGGTATGAAGTGACTGGCTTGCAAGTTTTCAAGAGGGAGTTTAGTTTCAGAGTGTGTGGGGGAAAGCAGAATCCGTGAAAGGTGATGGGGATAAGATTTTATGATCCAATAATGAGTAATTATTGTCATGACTAGTTGCGACTGTCACAACTGTAAAGGTAGAAGTTTTGTAGGAAAAAGAGGGGAGTAGTTCATCTTACATTCTAGGAACAGAGGATCCTAGGACCATCAAGGGAGGATAGCAGCTAAGGATTCTAGACTCATGCAAAGAGAAAAGCTGTGTGCTGGTGGCCAGGATGCAGGCTTGCAGAATGTGCCCTTTGGTTGTTTAAATGATTATATATTCCTGAGTGTTTTTGTGTACATCCCGCTCTGCCCTGTCCCCCCCATCCCCCCTCAAAAAAAAGGTGGTGGGGGGGGATAAAAGCAAATACTATTGAATACTGATACACAGAATGGACTGGAATTGCAATGAACCGATCCATTGGTTAGCAGCCCAATGTTTAACCCATTTTGTCATCAGGGTTTCTCTAGCAGTCTATTTACACTAAAATCAAGCTAAGGGAGTATAGCTCTACTCTGACACACTTCTTTTCTGACAAACAACTGCCTCTTGGTCCAGGTACAGATTCCCACAATTAAGTGTTCAGGAATACTCATACTTCGCAATGTTGTCTATAGCTTGTCATGATCCACACAATCGAAAGCTTTCGCATATTTAATAAAGCACAGGTAAACATCTTTCTGATATTCTCTGATTTCAGCCAAGATCCATCGGATATCAGCAATGATATC